AGGCAGGACAGAAGCCCCAGAGCTGCTCCCAGCCCAATCCCAGTGGCACCAGTGCCCCATATCATGGGCCCCCTGGGCAACATGTTGTCACAGGGTGCTAGGTTGGATGCAAGGGGTCCTGCCCAGGGCAGCTTGGCAGAGCTCCCTCGGGGACAGCAGGTCTGCATGTCCAGACATGGGTACAGGCTCCTCCGTGCAGTAACAGCATTGTTTATAGTGCCAGGCCATGGCTCTGCCCTCTCTGGGTGCAGACTGAGTCCCTCAGGGAGTGGCAGTGTCCTTGCCCGCATGCTGTCCCGCGGCAGCCGTGTGCAGGGACCTTCCCGGCTTCTGCCCGTGCGCAGCCTCGGGAGCATTGCCTGCCGGCTGTCACCACACACAGACCCTGTGACACCGGGGGTGCTCGGGTGCCGCAGGCACACACTCTGCTGCCCACCCTGCTCATCCTCACCCCAGCTGGTGCTTCCCAGGGAGGTCCCCTACTTCCCCCAAGTGTGGAGGTCTGGGAGATGCTCAGGTCTGGGAGATGCCTCAGCAGGGACAAGCCCTGTGCCACCAGCTCCGTGCTCAGGGCACCTGGAGTAAAGGCCAGTGCATGGAGTACAAAGGCAAACTGGGGGTGGACTCTGCTCTGATCTGAGGTTGGCACTGCCCAGGAGGACTGCGGGGAGCCTTTGCCAGACAGGGCCTTTGCCACTGCGCTGTGGCTACTGTCCCTTAGCATAAGGGAGACCTGACACCACAATGATGGGCATACTGTCAGAGGTCCCGTTTCCTGTCTCTGCTCTAGGCTGGATGATCCCACTGGGGCCTGGGGCAAGGACAATGTCCCAGCCTGAGGCTCTCCCCCTTGCAGGAGGCGGTGGCTTGGCTGTGCAGACCCCGCGGTGCAACCGCAGCTCTGGCTGGCATAGCTTTCAAGCGTTCACAGTTGGCAGGGCCTCCCCCATCCCCCTGCTCCTTGCGGTAGCCTTTGCTGCTTCACGGAAAATGTGATGACTCGGCAGCCCCTGAGTTTCCAGGCCGGGTTCCAGCTGCTGGGTGGAGAAACCTTCTGCAGTTGTTTTTGGGTCTGGCACAGCCAAAGGCTTCACTGTCAGGGGGACCGGAGGGGAGATCTGGCATCCCCAGCTGAAGGCGGGCTCTCTCTCTGTCCTTGCCTGTGGTGGCATGGTGTCACCAGGGTGGCTGCGGGGAGGGCAGCGCTGGCACGTAATGAGCAGCTTCTTCTGTCCAGTATGGGAGGCTGCTGAGCCCTGCGGCGCCAGGGACAGGGCCTGGGTTTGGCTCCCACCAGAGCTTTTGGCTGTTTCCACCACAGGCACAGCCCAAAGTCCCTGAGCTCAGGAAGCACAACCACCGAGTCCCCAGGTTTAAATCAGTGGGGCTGGTATGGACGAGTCCCCGCAGCCAGTGGGGTGCCAGCTCTGCGTGCCCTGTGATGGGCCACGAGGAGCATGCAGAGGCTGGGAAAGCCACTGGGACACCTCCGGGACCATGCCCAGAGGTCAGTCCCAGCCCAGCAGGCAGCAAGGCATGGTGCCGAGGCATCCCCCCAGTGTGTCCTCATGCCAGGGGGGGCTGACCTCTCCTTCCTGGATGGGGAGGTGCTGGGCAGTGGCACAGCATGGCAGCGGGCTCCAGGGGTATGGAGACACTGTGCTCTAGGAGTCCCTGCTCTGCTCCCCAGCCCAGAGTCCAGGGAGGGCAGGACACAACCTTTGGTCCTCAGGCAAGACAATGCCCGGAGAAACTACCTTGGTGGTGGAGTTGTACCCCCACGCAGGGCTGTGGCAGCAGAAGTTGATTTCCAACAAATTCCTGAGATGCCACATCCCACCTACCTCCCTTGCAACTCCATCCCACTGAGCCGGGGTGGCTGGAGGTGGAGATGACCAGCTTTACAGGGAGGCTGGTGGCAGGAGCGTTGGGGCTGTGGGCAGGCAGGTGTAGTGAGTGTGCGCAGACTCAGCTTGCTCCCCAGCAGGGCAGGGCAGACTCAGCCCATCTGGAGTGTCCTGGGACTCCAGAGAGTGGGTTGTCCTCTTGCTGGTCTGGAGCTGCTTTTTGGTGTGCGCTGAAGCTAGAGGAGCCCCACCTTGACTCTGTAGGCTGGGATAATCTCCTGTCTGTGCCACTGCAGGGGACACTGCCTCCTGTCACCTGCCTTAGACACTGGGGGATGCAAAATCTCTTCCCAGGGTTTTCCTTGATAATCAAGGGTCCCTCCTGCCCCATCCCCCTGGATCACAATTCCCAGCCCACTAAGGTCCCCCATCCTAACCTCTAACCCCTGCTTCATCAGCCAGGGCTCCTCCAATTCAGCTCTGCCATCACCTGCCACTCTCCGGGCCCCCCCCCCCCACCCCCCCCTGCCTGCTCTGCCCCTGCCCCAGCCATCCTGACCCCCCAGGCTGCTCACGGCAGCACAGCCCCATGCTCCCCATCCAACGCGGGGTCACCTCTCCTTGTGCCGCTGTGGCAGGGCTCGTACCACAGACCTGCTGGGGACATCCACCGAAAGCCTCTTTGCAAACGCGTTTGGGGACCGGCCAGCTGTAACCTCCCAGATCCCGCCCTGGGCCCCTGGGTAAACCTGGCAAGCCCTCACTGCAGCAGGGAGCTCCAGCCTCCTCCCAGCTGGCTGCAGCCGCCCAGCTCTGGAAAGCGGCCTTTTAAAACAGTCCCCAGCCCACTGGAGACGGCAGCAGCCAGCCCCAAACCTCCCTCTGCCTCGGCTCATGGAGGGGGACTCCCTCCCCATCCAAGTGGCTGGGTACCTCCGGTATCCATGAGCACCCGCCCTGTGCTCAGCTCCTGTGGGGGATGGCCAGCCCCCGGTCACGCCGACGTCCACCAGCAGGGATGGATGTCCCCAGCTGTCTGCGGCACTGGTTGATGGGTCATCCCCATCACCCCAGGTGTTGGTGGACCTCAGTCCCAACGCTTATCAGGGGATCCCTAAGAGCCAGAGCTTTTACCTTGGGCCTCCATCACTTGAGAAGATGCACTGTTTGCATTTTTGACATTCAGCCTTCCCCAGAGCTGCCGGTATTAAGGATTAAAAAGCTTGCATGCACTGGAGCCAAGGCATTGCCTTCTGCTCCCACCCCGACCTTCATGTCCAGGGTGCAGAGGGAGGGCTGGTCTGGTGACAGAGTGACTCGAAGGGCCTCCGGTTGTTGAGCTGTGCCTCTCTGCTGGGGGGATGTCGGAGTCATTAACAGAGGAGACAAAGGTGACCAATAAACCCTTACTGCTGGGCTGAGCAGCAGGGCCAGGGCTCCTTTACCCTCAGTCCGCTCCAGGCAGGGGACTGGACCTCTGCAGAGACGTGACTGTGACCACGGACCAGGACTCCTGGCACCAGCCCCATTTGGCCAGGACCTGGGGAATTAACTGTCCCCCATGCAAAGGGAAGGGGACTCATGTGTTCTGTCCCCTTTCCCAGCTGACTCCATCAGCCTGAGGGCTGTCAGGAGGTTTGGGGGATGGACCTGGGGCTGGAGATGGGTGCTAGATCGGGTGTCCTTGTGTACCCCTCTCTTCTCAATTATGTGCAGGGTCTGAGGCTTTCCCATGTCTTTGCCCAGGCACTGGGAGCTGATCTGTCTCTCACAGGTCCCACTTGACAAACTTCTGAGTTTTTGGGGAAGGGAATCTGCTGTTCTGGGCCAGCTGGGGGATGTGTCCCACGCTGACAGCTCAGTGGCTCACAGCAATAAGCAAAGCTTGAATAGCCCCCATTGGGGGGCCATGCTGGCTACTGGGACAGAGTCCCACGGCCACACAGGCTGCGCTGGCTTCCAGGATAGATGCATCACTGAACCTCTTCCAGCACTGTCCCAGATCTCCAGCACTGATGTGAAGCCAATGGCATCTCCGCTCTGAATCAGAGCTGGCATGCTGCCACACATTGCACAGACACAGCACAGCACCACACAACGCACAGCCCTGCACATGGCTGGGGGGGCACATTGTGCTCCCCGTGGCAGCACCGCATACAACTCCTACAACCCATGAGCAGACAAGGCACCGCTCAGACCCAGCCAACCCCTCAAATCGGCAAAGCGTGGTCCACGTATCTTTGTACCCATGGGATGCAGCACACAGGAACCTCTCACAATGTCTTCAAACCCCCAGCTCCAATCTGCTTGCCCCTGTGCCATGAGCATCAGACAGAGGCACACATCTCCCTCCTCACCCAGCATGACCAAACCTCCCATCAGCACCTCAGTTTTCCCAATTCCTATTAGCACCTCATGCAGAAATTCATGCATACAGAGCTAAAGAGTACATGAACGTGCTGGGCACAGAGACAGCTGCAAGGTGCATAGCACCCTGG